TACAATGTTATGCCGAAGCGCACATTGTGCGAGTACCTGCAAATGCTTCAAGCGAAAATTGCGAAAGCAAACAAACACACGAACATACCATTCACACGCAAATGCATTCGCATACGCATACTCGTACAATCAGACGGCAGGATGTCATGCAATGTGAATTTGCACCCAACAGTGTCTCCCATCCCTTCATAACCCTTCGGCTTCTTAGTTTTCCCCTGCTGCTGCTCTCCTCCCTCGGATCCAGCAGCTCCACTAGTGCTACCGCTAGTCTCCACACCATTGTTGTCACCGGCAGGTGCCTCCTGCACCTTTTATCCAGCACCACCTTCTGCAGCTGCCTCCTCTCCCTCCTCCCACACACTAGGAGTCAGGTCCAGCTGCATGGTGATCTGCTCCATCTGCTGGGACACCCTGGCCTCCGGCTGTTTCTCCCAGCTCCCATACATCATGCCCTCAACAAACTTCACATCCCTGCTGTCAAACAACACACCCTTGGAAGGCTCCCACAGCAGCCATCCCTTGCTCTCAGCAGCCAGCCCCAAATGCACACACCAGATTGCACTCGCCCCCAACTTACTGCGGTAGGTCTTGGGGACGTGGGCGACTGCCATGCAACCGAACACCCTCAGCATGTCCACCGGCGGCTTCCTCCCAAGCCACCTCTCCAATGGCACCCACGAGTCATCCCCAACCTTTGTGAGTACCCTGTTCCTAGCGACAGTAGCGTGCCGAACAGCATGGGGCCACATGGAGTTGCCCAGCCCAGATTCTATGAGCAGCGCCCTAGCTGTCTCCAGAATTGTCCGGTTCGCCCGTTCTGCTACACCGTTGGACTGTGGGGTGTAAGCCGTGGTCAGCTCCCTCTGGATGCCCTGCTTCTTGAGCCAGGCCGTCATCTCAGCTCCAAGGAACTCACCACCCCGATCTGTCCTAATCCGCTTCACCACACACTCCGCTTGCTTCTCCACAAACGGCAGCCAATCGTCCCGAATCGTGGAGGCGGCGTGATCTTTTTGCTTTAGCGGATACGCCCAAATCAGCCTGCTCCGGTCATCCACTATCGTTAGGAAGTACTGCTCCCCCTTGTGCCCTTGCACTGGCAGCGGCCCCACCAAATCCATGTGGACCAGCTCCAACGGCTTTTTGCTCCTGCCAGCCACACTATGGAAGGGGAAACGGGTGAACTTTGAAAGGAGGCAAATTTCACAGTTATCATCGCGTGGTTGTCCGTTCAGCTTCAAGCCCTTAACGGCTCCATCCTTCTCCAGCTGCTTCAGCAAAGGCATTGCCACATGCCCCAAGCGTCGGTGTGCCGTTGCCCAATCCGTCTCCCCAGATCTGGCCGACACTTTCACACCAACCCCTCCAACGGCGTTGCACTCCCCCTGGGATGCAGACCCCTCTCCAGCCTGCCCCCCCCACCGTGCCACGCCAGCGCCGGCAGCTGCCACATAGATCTGTACACGTCCTTGCTCTCGTGCAGATCCCAAAGCACCCGATTGCCCAGCTTCCCCTTATAAGTGCGAGCCTCATCTGTGTTGGTGTTCACCCCAGCCTTGCCAAGCTTACGGAGGGAGATAAGGTTGGCCTTCAGGTCGGGGACGAGGAGAACGTCGTGCAGCACCACCGGCTTGCCATCCGCTCCCTTAAATGCAGCTCGTCCCGCACCAGCCACCTTCAACATGTGTCCAGAGGCAGAGCACACCTCGTTAATCGGTGCAGCGCGTACGTTGTCCAGCAGGTCCTTGCGCGGCGTCATTGTCCAAGCAGCGTCTGTGTCCAACACCCAATAGTCCAGGGGGTGCAGCTCTGCTCCAACCTTAGCACAGGCGTCTCCTTGCTCCCCCTTGTCTCCCACATGGAAGAATTGGCCCGCGGTGCGCTCCTTCTTCTCCGCACCGCCGTTGCCCTTCGGGTTGTTGTCGGACGAATCAGCGACCATGTTGGCGCCGTTTTTCTGGTTCCTCCACGCGCCGCCTTCCTGGTGACGATTCTGGGGGGTCCATCCATCGTGTTTCTTACAGCACAAAAACCAGGGGTGCCCTTCCTTCTCACAATACCAGCAACTCCCTTTCATTTCGCCACCAGCACCCGACTTGCCCCCACGTCCAGATTTCGCACCGCGACCCCAACCGGTACCTCCTTGTTGGTCGTTGGAGTCGTCGTCCTTCTTTGCACCGCGTCCAGCACCACCGAAGCCACGTCCTTTGCCACGTCGGCTCCCTTGCATCCCGTAGCCGCTGCTGCCGTCGTCTCCACCCCTCAGTTGGCGGCGACGGAAGTCCTCCTCCAGAATCTTTGTCCGCACCCACTCGAGCGTCCACAGGCCTTTGGTTCTGCGGCAAGCTCAATCCGCTCGTGAATTGAAGCCACGATTCCGGCAGCAGCGAGAGCATCTTCAGGCACTTGGTCTGCTCCGGGTAGGTGATTCCCGCGATCGCCAGCTTCGCGTAGAGATCACGCATCTTGTCCAGGATGAATTGCACCGGCTCTCCCTCGCTTAGGCGCAACGCGGACAGCTCCCTCTCCATCATGAGCGTCGCAGCGACGGAGGTAGGGGCGTGCAGCTCCTTCAACACCGTCCACGCCTTTGGACCGCACTCAACCTCCGGCAGCAAGTGCATGACGTGGTGACGCTGGTTCAGCTCCAAACTCTGCGACATCAAGTAGTAGCCAGCCGAGGCGCGCTCGTCCCAATCTTCCTGAAGGGCGGGGTCACTCGGTCTAGGCTCCTCCCCAATCATTAGTTTCAGCAAACCGATCTGACGGAAATAGAGTTGCATTTTCCAGGCCCAATCATCATAGCCCTCACCATTGAACTTCTCGACGGTGAAGTTTTTCAGCACCTCCTTGATCAGCGAGCCCTGGCTTGTTCGCGCTCCCCTTGGCGCAGAAACCCCAGAATCTTGGCTGCCGCTACGATCTTGGGCTGACGATTCACCAGCTACCGCCGAGGTGTTGCCCGCCATAGCTACCTATAACGAGGATCACTATAACGCAGCTCTGATACCAGCTTGTTGGTGTAAGGGCCTAATAAACTCAAGCTATTAAGACTTTATCAAACTTAAAACCTCTCCTCGGGGTCACCTCCAAGGGTCCTTGGGTGCCTGGTACAAGACCAGCCCCTATCCTCGGGTCCGAATTTGTAGAGAGAGGGATCAAGAGGGACTTGGTCAAAACAGCAAGAGTACCTTGAACGTCACGCAGTGTATCATGCAAACCGTTGATCGGATTGAGCTGAGAATTTACTATATCGAAGCTCGCTCCAAGAGCTTTAAAATGAACCAAGTTGCCTCGCGAAAAGTTCTGCCATTACGAAGTTATGGCTCAGACAGCGTTTGCCTAGCGTTGGAGTGCTAGCGTACTATCGTTGACTCGGGTAGCATTCCGCCGTCGCACCGCGTAGAAAGGAAATTCCAGCAAGGAAGGAATTCGCTTGAATCAAATTTTACTATATCCAGGTACAAACAGAGAATGAATAAATAGTTCTAGCTAGCAAGGACCTAGGGAATGAACCTGGGAACAACCTGGGATCATCCCAAATAATTCCAAGCAACAGAACCAACCTGGCTGGACAAAACAGCAGGTGGTAGGTTGGTAAACAACCTCTGGTTCTGTTTTTCCAACCTGGGAAAACAACAACCAGGTTCAGGTCCTAAAAACAGAACCTGTTTCGTCTTTGCCCAACCAGCCAAAAGCTGGTTCCGCTGGTTTCCCCTGGCCCTGTAGCATGCAGATACAGACAAACAACATCCAACCTTCACCTAAATTGTACCCCTATAGTGCCTGCCCTGCTACACTATAGTCAACCAAGCAAAACAGTACAATTTCGAGTTGGATAGAACTGAATCTGCACAATCAATTCAACCGAACCGCAAGGCTTCCATCTTGGGTTCCTTTGCGAGCTCGTCCTTTCTGCTTGTACTGTGCATAGCGCGTACAATGTTGTGCCGAAGCGCATAATGCGCGAGTACCTGCAAATGCTTCAAGCGAAAATTGCGAAGGCAAACAAACACACCGAACATTCCATTCACACCCAAATGCATTCGCACACGCATACTCATACAAACAGACGGCAGGATGTCGTGCAATGTGAATTTGCACCTTACAAGCCTATAGGGGGTACACAGTTCTAGGGTTTCCTACTTGTACACATCTCACTGCTAGTTCATTCATTCCAGTTTAACATGGTATCAGAGCAGGTCCTTCCTAGGACCGATTTTTTTAGGGCCCACCACTACCTACCTACCTACCTAAGCCCTAGGGCGCCTCAGTTTTCTCGCCCCTAGAGGCCCCGATCGGCCCACGCGCTTACCCCTAGAGACCCCGATCGGCCCCGCGCTCGCCCTTAGCGGCCCCGAACGGCCCTGCGCTCGCCCTTAGCGGCCCCCTTTCGGCCCCGCGCTCGTCCCTAACGGCCCCGATCGACCCCGCGCTTGCCCTTAGCAGCCCCGATCGGCTCCGCGCTTGCCCTTAGCGGCCCCGAAAGGCCCCGCGCTCGTCCCTAACGGCCCCGATCGGCCCCGCGCTCGCCCTTAGCAGCCCCGATCGGCCCCGCGCTCGCCCTTAGAGGCCCCGATCGGCCCCGCGCTTACCTCTAGAGGCCCCGAACGGCCCCCACCTAGAACGAGCCGCCTGAACCGAGCAGCCCGAACCGAGCCGCCCGACCCGAGCCGCCCAGCCCTAACCGAGCCGCGCCGCCCTACCTGTACCGAGCCGCGCCGCCCTACCTGTACCGAGCCGCGCCGCCCTTCCTGTACCGAGCCGCGCCGCCTATACCGAGCCGCGCCGCCCTACCTGTACGGAGCCGCCCTACCTGTCCTCGGGGTGCCCCTACTGCTTTTCTTACTCCTACTCCTATTACTCTTCCTACTGCTATGGCTAACCCCTCCTGTGCTAGCTTTCGATGCTGAGGGCCGCCCAGTGAAGTTCGAAACTTGGCTTGATGACCTACACCTCTTCCTACAGCTCACTGCCAAGGAAGACATCTCACTGTACGATCACGCCCTAGGCCACGCTACTGCTCCTGCTGCTACTGCAGACAGCACTGCCCGCTCACAGTGGCAGACTCGTGACGCCCACGCTCGTTTCGCTATTCGCAACTCTCTGCCGATAGATGAGCGCGAGCACTTTGGACAGCACAAGACTGCGCAGGCACCGTACACTGCTTTAGTTGCCCGCTACTCCTCACCGGCCTCTGCCGCACTAGGCCGTCTCTCTCTTCCCTACCTGTTCCCCGACTTAGCCTCTTTCCACACATTCGCTGACCTCATTACACACCTCTGCACTAGTGAGGCTCGCTTCCGCGCCGCTATGCCTGATGAGTTCCTTGCCACGAACCCACCCCCGCTCTGGCTCACTCTCTACCACCTAGTCACGCGCCTCCCTGACACTTTGCGCTCAGTCAGGGACCACTTCCTAGCTCGCTGCCCCAATGAGCTCACCATTGCCCTCGAGAAGGAACTCCTTGTAGCTGAGGCTAGCATAGTCGCTGTAGGTGCCTCTCGTGGCGACCCCCGTACCCCGTTCTTTGAGGGGTGTTCTCCTTCCCCCCTTCTTCCCTCTGTCGCCTCTGCTGCTGCTGTCGACCTCCTTGGTACTGAGAAGGTCGGGACTGCGTCTGCTTCGAGCGGGCGCCGCAGCGGCAAGGGCAAAGGGGGCAAGGGCGGTGGCGGTGACAGCGGGGGAGGCGGTGGTGGGGGAGGTGGTGGTGGTGGGGGTGGTGGCGCGACTGGAGGGGCAGGTGGCAGCGGTGGGGGGGGGTGGCGGCAGCGGCGGGGGAGGTGGCCGGGGCGGAGGAGGTAGTGGGGGTGGCGATGGGCGCGGCGACGGCAAGGGTTGGGGTGGTCGAGGAGGTGGTGGCAGTGGTGGTGGTCGTGGAGGCGCTGGCGGTGGCCAGGGCCAACAGCACACTCCGTCGCCCTAGGAGGTCCGTGAGTAGTAATCTCAGCACGGGGGGGGGGGGGGGTGGCCTTAGCTGCACGTACGTCATTCGCACTGGTGACCGCACTGGCCAGCCGTGTGGGGGACCGCACGCCACACAGCGTTGCTTCGCTCGTCTGAACGACGCTTGGCGTGTTCAGTTCCCACAGGCCACTGAGCTGCCCCGCTGGATTGATCTCCTGAAGAAGGGGATCGATATCTATGCTCTAGACTTTGATGCCATTCTCACTGCTATGTATGTGACGTCTACTAGTGGAGAGGGTGCTGAGTACCTGTGTGTCCCGCCCGACCCGGGCATTAGGACTAGTGCGTCCGCCGCTTCAGGTACTCGCGTGTCTGCTACCCCAGGTGCAGGTGAGGCAGCTGCTCTAGGTGCTTGTGCGTCTGGCCCCCCTGGTACTGAGTCGACTACAGCACTGCACACCTTCACACTGGACTCAGGTGCCTCTCGCTGCTTCTTTCGAGACCGCACTGCCCTTGAGCCACTTGCTCGGCCAGTTGCTGTCTCCCTCGCTGACCCCTCTGGGGGTCCGGTCATTGTGACCTCCTCCACTGTCCTTCCCTGCCCTTCCTGTTGGGCACACTGTCAGGTCTCCACCTCCCCTCGTTCTCTACAAACTTGGTGGCAGGTTGTGCTCTCCAGGTAGGGGGTGTTCACCAGTTCACCCCTGCCTACGAGCGTGTGACACACTGCACGTGTGCCCGTACGGGCCGCCACTTGGCTAACTTCACCCGGCAGCCTGGGTCGGACCTGTACACACTGACTACTGCGCCCCCTCAGGTCGCTGCGTCTGCGTCTGCGTCCGCGTCAGGTCAGCTGTCCGCCCCCTGCTCATGTCGCTCTCTAGCGCACGAGACTGTCCTCTGGCACCACCGACTTGGCCACCCGTCTGTGCAGCGCCTTCGTGCGATGCACTCCCGGTACCTTGTCTCTGGTCTTCCCAGGGTCCTCCCTCCCCTCCCACCCTCGCCTGCTCCTCCCTGTCTTCCCTGGGTCGAGGGGCGGCAGCGCGCCGCTCCTCACTCCTCGTTTCCCCCGACGACTGCTCCTTTGCAGACGCTCCACATGGACGTGTGGGGCCCAGCCCGCGTCCGTGGTCAGGGTCAGGAGAGGTACTTCCTGATAGTTGTTGACGACTACTCGCGCTACACCACGGTCTTCCCCTTGCGCACCAAGGGTGAGGTCCCTGATGTCTTGATCCCTTGGATCCACAGAGCCCGTCTCCAGCTCAGCGAGCTTTCCACTCGGACTTTCCTGTCCTGCGCTTGCATTCTGACAGAGGTGGTGAGTTCTCCTCCAACCTCTTGGCAGCCTACTGTGCTGAGCACGGCATTGAGCAGTCGTTCACGCTTCCGGCCTCTCCACAGTAGAATGGGGTTGCGGAGCGCCGCATTGGCCTGGTCATGGAGGTCGCCCGTACCTCCTTGATCCATGCGGCTGCCCCACACTTTCTGTGGCCGTTTGCGGTCCGGTACGCTGCGCATCAGCTCAACCTCTGGCCCCGAGTCTCCTTGCCAGAGACCTCGCCCACACTGCTGTGGACGGGGAAGGTTGGCGATGCGTCGCGTTTCCGGGTCTGGGGATCTCGAGCTTCTGTCCGCGATACGTCTGCGGACAAGCTCTCCTCACGTGCTGTTCCCTGCGTCTTCCTCGGCTTTGTCCCGGACGCGCCTGGTTGGCAGTTTTACCACGCCACCTCGCGCCGGGTCTTGCCCTCTCAGGACGTCACTTTTGACGAGTCCGTCCCCTACTACCCGCCTCTTCCCCTACCGCACTGCCCCGCTCCCTCCCCCGCCTCTCTTCCTCGCGCCAGGTGCTGCTGTCGTAGACCCCCTCCCCCCTCAGGGTGCCGCTCCCTCAGGTGTGTCTCAGGTAGACCCGGTTGAGCCTGTTGAGATTGCTGTTGACTCTCGTCCTGCTGAGGGTGCGGAGCCTGGGGGTGCGGAGCCTGGGGGTGCGGAGACTGCGGGTGCTGAGCCTGGGGGTGCGGGGCCTGGGGTTGCTGAGCCTGGGGGTGCTGAGCCTGGGGGTGCTGAGCCTGCGGGTGCTGAGCCTGGGGGTGCTGAGCCTGGGGGTGCTGAGCCGCAGCGTCCGGAGTCAGGGGGTTCTGCGTCTGGAGGTGCTGGGCCTGAGGGTCCTACACCTGGAGGAGGCCTCCCCTCGGAGCAGCTGCGTGAGTGGTACTTACAGTACTGCAGCCTCCGGAGAGGTACCTCTGGAGCCAGATGTTGGTGTAAGGGCCTAATAAACTCAAGCTATTAAGACTTAATCACACTTAAAACCTCTCCTCGGGGTCACCTCCAAGGGTCCTTGGGTGCCTGGTACAAGACCAGCCCCTATCCTCGGGTCCGAGTTTGTAGAGAGAGGGATCAAGAGGGACTTAGTCAAAACAGCAAGAGTACCTTGAACGTCGCGCAGCGTATCGTGCAGACCGTCGATCGGATTAAGCTGAGAATTTCCTATATCGAAGCTCACTCTAAGAGCTTTAAAATAAGCCAAGTTGCCTCGCGAAAAGTTCTGCCATTACGAAGTTATGGCTCGGACAGCGTTAGCCTAGCGTTGGAGTGCTAGCGTACTAGCGTTGACTCGGGTAGCATTCCGCCGTCGCACCGCGTAGAAAAGAAATTCCAGCAAGGAAAGAATTCGCTTGAATCAATTTCACTTTATTCAGGTACAAACAGAGAAGGAATAAATAGCTCTAGCTAGCAAGGACCTTGGGAATCAACCTGGGAACAACCAGGGATGATCCCAAATAATTCCAAGCAACAGAACCAACCTGGCTGGACAAAATAGCAGGTGATAGGTTGGTGAACAACCTCTGGTTCTGTTTTTCCAACCTGGGAAAACAACAACCAGGTTCAGGTCCTAAAAAACAGAACCTGTTTTGTCTTTGCCCAACCAGCCAAATGCTGGTTCCGCTGGTTTCCCCTGGCCCTGTAGCATGCAGATACAGACAAACAACATCCAACCTTCACCTAAATTGTACCCCTATAGTGCCTGCCCTGCTACACTATAGTCAACCAAACAAAACAGTACAATTTCGAGTTGGATAGAACTGAATCTGCGCAATCAAGTAAGTTGAACCGCAAAGCTTCCATCTTGGGTTCCTTTGCGAGCTCGTCCTTTCTGCTTGTACTGTTCATAGCGCGTACAATGTTATGCCGAAGCGCACATTGTGCGAGTACCTGCAAATGCTTCAAGCGAAAATTGCGAAAGCAAACAAACACACAAACATACCATTCACACGCAAATGCATTCGCACACGCATACTCGTACAAACAGACGGCAGGATGTCGTGCAATGTGAATATGCACCCAACACACTCCCCCTCAGCCTGCCGGCTGCATCCCCATCATTCCATACTAGTTCATGCTCATTCCACTCATGCGCACACAACGCCAATGAGACTCATCCGCAAGCCTCTTGGTGAGGAAGTCTGCTGGCTGCTGGTGAGTCTTGATGTAGATCGGATTCACCGTCCCCCTCTTCACCTCCTTACGCAGCCAGTGCCACTTGATACGCATGTGCTTATTCAGCCCATGAAGCACAGCGTTCCTGGCCATCCCAAGAGCTCCCTTGCTATCACAAAACAGCGGCGTAGCAACCTTTTGTTCCTGGCCAATCTCCTCCAACAGCCTCCTCAGCCAAATCACCTCCTTCACCCCATGGAACATCGCCATGTACTCTGATTCCACGGAAGAGAGTGCTGTCTCCGTCTGCTTCTTTGACCTCCAACTAACCGGTCCTCCCCCAACTACACAGATGTATCCTCCCACAGATGAGGAATCCTCCTTCTCAGAGGCCCACGTAGCATCAGTAAAGCAAGTGAGAAAAAGCTTGCCTTCTCCAAGCCTCTCCCCCTTCTCTTTCAGCACCTCAACCCCTTTCTGCTTCACCTGTGCAGATGCGGAGTATTGAACTCCAATGCTTGGGTGAGAGTTCAGATACTTCACCACACGCTCAGCTGCATCCACCTGCTCCTCTGATGGATTCTGCACTACCCTAGCCAGCTGCCCAACCGAGAAAGAGATGTCGGGTCTCGTGTGAACTGCTGCATACAAGAGGCTGCCCACCAAGGACTGAAATTGCTGCTGCTCCTCGGCTTCAACCCCTTCATCCTCTGCAGCTTTCACAAGCTTGAATTCTGCTGGCAGGGGAGTTGCAACCTTGCGCTCATTCTCAATTCCGTACTTCTCCCCCAGCTCCTTGATGAACTTCTCCTGGTGCAGCTTCAACCACCTGTGATCCAGATCCCTCTCCACGTGCATCCCGAGGTAGTACTTTACCTCCCCAAGGTTCTTGCACTTGAAGTTCTCCATCAGCTGCTGCTGCACCTTCTGGACCTCCTTCATGCTGCTGCTAAAGAGAAGAATGTCGTCCACATAGACCAGAAACAGCACCAGCTTCTCCCCCTCCCCCTTGAGAAAGAGGCTCTCATCACAGCTGCTGGTCTTGAATCCCATCTCCTCTAAAACAGCTGCCAACTTCTGGTACCAGCAGCGTGGCGCCTGCTTCAAGCCGTAGATGGACTTTTTCAGCTTGCACACCCTGCCCGTACCATCCTCATACCCAGGTGGCTGCGTCATGAACACCTCCTCCTCTAAAATCCCGTTGAGAAATGCCGTTGATATGTCCATCTGGATAATGAACTTCCCACTAACGGCTGCATCTGCCAACAAGACACGAAGGGTAGGGGGTTTGGCAGTGGGAGCAAAGATCTCATTGAAGTCCCGCTTCTCCTTCTGCATAAACCCCTTAGCCACCAACCTACTCTTGTAGATGGTGACCTGCCCCTTGTCGTCAGTCTTGATCCTTAGCACCCACTTGCATTGTACCGCTTTCTTTCCCTCAGGCAGCACCACTAGTTCCCAAGTCCCATTCTCCAGCAGGCTCTGGTACTCAGCATCCCTGGAAGCTAGCCATTTGTCCCTATCTGGTCCAGCTAATGCCTCCTCCATGCTAGCTGGTTCCTCTGGTGCAGGGGCAAGAAAACAGTACGCAGGTTGATCCTCCTCATCCGGGTCATAGCCATGCGGTAGAATCAGCAA